AAGTGTGTGTGTGAAAGAATCTATTGTAAGGAGCATCACTCATTAATCATTCAATACATCATAGATTCATCTTCTTCTTCTTCTCCCTTCTCTTCTATATTGATCTGACATCATCCAATTGATTGGGATTTCGCACCATCAATTGGATCTGATTGATACACAAGCAATTTTGGGGACTTACAATTGGTATCAGAGCTTGGTTGTATCAATCAATTTTTTCAAATCTGGAGCTTATTTATCTTATTTTGAAAAGAGAATAGCGTTTTTGGATAGATCTCGCTAAATTAAGGGGGGTTACTTTTTTGCATTTTTCATAAAAACGAGTTTTTGATCGAGTTTTAAAGCAAAAAAGGGTGAAAAACGTCGTTTTTTTTCACGAATCTGTTGAAGGTGTGCGGCCCGGTTGAAGGAGTGCAGTTCAGTGTGTGCGGCTCAGTGTGCGCCCCCGGTTCGGTGTGCGGCTGGCTCGGTGTGTGCGGCTTAATCTCGTGTACGGTCCAGCGACTTCGCTTCGGTCTCGGTCAGCAGCAGCAGAAGTCCTCGCATCGCACATTTAAAAAACAAGAGTGATCATTGTAGGAGCCGGGGATCGAACCCGGGTCAGCTGCATCTTTAGCTACGCGTCTTACCAATTCCGCTAGAATCCTTCCTCATTATTTTCTTCCCCTTTTAATTTAAATATTATATCTCCGGTTCATATTTTCGCAAATTTAACACTTTTTGCCCAAAAATCATTTTCTTTATTTTTAAATTTCTTTTTCATCCAAAATTTTAGTTTTTTTTATTTTAGTTTTTTTTTTATCTTAAAATTTTGACTCTGACTTTTAAAAGTTGACCTTTGACTTTAAGTTTTAACTTTCTCGTTTGACTTTTAATTTTTCAAATTTGACTTTTCAAGTTTGACTTTTGAGTCTAACTTTTTAAATTTGACTTTTAAGGTTGACTCTCTCGGCTTTTAATTCAAAGGGAAATTAAAAATATAATAAAAATAAAAAATAAAAAATGAGTTCCACATCAATTCCGGTAAATGAAGTTTTATACACTCCATCTTGTAAAGCTACGATTAAATTTCTTCGCGAACAAATTGATTTGCTAAAAAGGGAAAATGAGGACCTTAAATACGAAGGCTATACTCTAAGGAAAGGTCAAAAACCTTTAAAAGCATAATTAGAGGCCAAGACTAAGAACTTTAGGAAATTACAAGAAGATTACAGCAACAAGTGTGAAAATTATGATCACATTAAACGCAAACTTGCTGCTGTAACTGAAGATCTTGATACTTTGAAAATAAAGTGTGGAAAAACAGATGTTAGTTTCAAAAATTATACTGCATCAAGTAAGACAGTCGAGTCCTTAGTAGAAAATCAATTGAGTTTTAAAGATAATCAAACCAAGGGTCTAGGGTATCACAGTGTGCCACCTCCTTTTAATCACAATTATAACCCAACCCTTGAGACCAATAAGGAAGAAATGCATGCTCAGTGTGGCCAAAACCCTGCTCCAGCTTCAGTTAAGACTGAAAAATCAGGGCCAACTAAGGATGTTGAGCTAAAAGATACTAATGCTTCTACTTCATGTGCAGGTAAAGTAGCAAAGGATGAGAACAAGGAGAACACCGTTGAACAAACCAACATCTCCTTGAACTCTAAATTTGTTGCTTCGAACTCAATTGCTTCTGATCAACCTACTATTGGTAAATACAGGCCACCATTTCAAGCTAAACAGAGTGACTGTTGCAACTGTACGTGTGGGAAAAGCAAGAGACAAGGCGAGGACATGCCACCAGGGGCAGGAAGAAACAACTCCACAGTGAAGAAAAAGACATGTTTTCACTGTGGAACACCTGGACACATTGCCAGAAATTGTCCTAATCGATCATACGTTCCCTACTACGCACAAGGGTGGCAGAACACGCCAAGAGGGAGATACTTCAAAAAAACCCCTCAAGGTCATGTTCAGACAATGGCGACTGGAATGCCACGAAGGGCAAGAGTTCAACTCCCAAGGGCAAGAAATAAAATCCCAAGGTTAAGAAGGGAATATCGACCAAGAAGCCAAATCCAAGAGATGCTCCCATGAAACCAAAATTGTCACACCCCCAAACCAAGGATGGCGGAAACGTCCGGGGGTGGAGGACTTCATGTACAGTATCACAACAACGAATATAATAGTGCTCAAAGTAAATACAACCATCATAAATATAATTGAAAAAGTTACACCAAAGTATATGTTTAGATGATGCAAAATCAATTACATTATGATGACAAAAATAAATTGTTGACGGTTTAATGTCCCATCCCCAAAGTGATGAAGTTTTCCTGTTTCACTGATTTCTTGAGAATA